GGTCATCTTCCGGAAACCTGTTTTAATGTATTCCCATGACCAATAACAAATGCGGTTTATTACTGTTGCTGCTTTTTCCTTTTATGCTCCTGTCTTGCAGTAAAGACCAGCATACAACCACTAATGGTGACTGGCTGTTTCCGGTAGCCAAGGGCAGTCTTTCCCTGACTTCCCTGAGCGAGCTCAAAAACCTGAAATACAGTGTGCAGATACCGGCCATAAGCATTGGACAGCCTGTTGGTGTGCCCGTCAGCTCACCCGGGCTCAGCATTGCACACGTCGGGCCATTTGCACTGCAGATCACGCCCTGGCTGAAAAGCATTGATATTGATTCCCTGGAGATCAATACCACGCTGCGCAATATCTTCCCGATACCCATTGGTGCCGGCACCCAGATCAGCATCCGCAACAGTAAGGATGTATCGGGCAACAGTAATATCATCGGCAGTACGATTATTGCGAATGACGTAGCACCCAATGCCCAGTTTTCCATAGACTTCAAAGCGGCAAATAAAACTTTTGGTGACTCCGTATTTTTCTTCCTGGACAACTTTGTTTCACCGCCTTATAATAATGTGGTGTTTGCCATTACGCCTACCGAGCTGCTGGTCACCCTGAAGGTGATCACCGCCAGTAAAGTGGAGCTCTACAGCAATAAGGTTTTTTCATCGGTAGATACAATGGAGTTCAAGGCGGGTGATGAAGACAACCTGGGCAGCGGCACCGGTGGTGCGATCAGCGATACCTCTGTATCCGGTTTCCTCAATGTTTTCCTGGACAATGGTTTGCCGGCCCATGTAAGTTTTCAGGCTTACTTCCTGGACGCGGGCAAAACGCAGATCATCGATTCTTTATTTACCACAGATCTTAAAGTTGCCGGTGCCAATACCGATGCTGCCGGTACGCCGCTGGCCATTGTCAGCACCGCTACCAAGGTCAATATTACCCAAGGAAGGATCAACAATATCAAGAAGGCTGCTTATACCATTACCCGCCTCCACTTTAATACCCTGGGTTATACGGCACCCTGGGTAACCGCCAATAAGAATGCAAAGCTGGACGTACAGATAACCGGTGACCTCAACATTAAAATAAGATTCTAAACCACCAGCACCGACTGATATGAAAACGATCAAACTATTAGTAGCCAGTGTGTCCGGTGTTTTATGCCTGCATTTGCCTGCCGCTGCACAGCTAAACATTGCCTCCCTGCAAAATGCTCATAACTCTAATAATGCCGCCCGTTACCTGCCCACCTACCTGGGCGATGGTTTCAAAACGTTGCAGGTATCTGTGTTCAATCCCTACGTAACCGTAGGCAGCAACTTTACTTCTGCCAAAGATGTGCGGGAGTATATTTCAAGTGATGAGATCAGTAATGCAATGGTAGAAAATACCATCAGCAAGCTGAAAAATAAAGACAACCTGATACAGGCCGGGCTGGACCTGGCGATTGTAAATATTGGTTTTAATATTAAGAACAAAGCCGGCGATCCGTTTCTCTCTATTGGCGTTGGTGTCAATGAACGGGTGGAAATGAGTTCTTCCTTCAACAAAGAATTATTTTTGCTGGCCTATAAAGGCAATAAACAGTTTGCCGGTCAAACCATTCAATTAGCACCCCGCCTGAACGCCCTTGCCTAT